AGATTCAAATCACTGGATCAGAACAAGTCGCTGGAAAAATCAAGCCTTTTAATGAAAAATTTTGATAAGCCGGCCTTTTTAGCATATCTGATGATGCTAGTAATTTAGATCCGTTCGAGGCAACTTTGTTAGAAATGCCCGACAAAAAGTACCCGACTTCAGCAGTTGTTACTTATTCCAGACTTGCATAAAAACACCTTGTATGCCCGGAATTCACAAAGAATATAATGCCCCAGTGAGGAAACGTTGCTTAGGTGAGGGAAAAAATGCAAGAAATTAGGTTAACATGTAAAAAGTGAGTAAAGAACACTTGGATTTGTTGACTGTAAGAAGAAAAATAAAAAACTATGCTTTGTCCTTAGCTGGACACTTCAATTAGCTTGGATCTAGGATGAAGCGAAATAAGTCAAGACCATGCAATTATGAAACGTAACTTCGAGAGTAACGCAAGCACATATGTGATAACCGGAAGGAGATCAGTTAGTAGTTTGATGGGAAGAAACAGAAGGCTAGATTTTTTTGCATAGGAAACCTGGAAATTAATCATGAAATTTTTGATGATTTTTAAAGGTTTTTTTTTAACAATTTCATAATTATGAGGAAAACAGATTTTTATAATTAAACCGTACAAAAAAATGGAAAAATAAAATTTAATTTCAAAATTAAAACCTAATAAAAAATTCGAAACTGGAGCATAAATGACGTTGAGTAAAACGTTTTTTTAGTACTAAAAAGAAGTTAAATGTTTTTGAAAGAAATGACACTCAAAACACTTTTATCATTAATAAATAGAATGACAGTTTTTTTCCTGTCATAATTGACTGGAGGAAACGGAACGACAATGAAACTACAGTTAATCAAAGTAAATTAGTATGTAAATTAGTCCATACATATAAATTAAAATGCAAATTAATACTATTTACATAAACATTATAGTAAGACATGCTATAAAGAATTTTGAACGCTGCACAGAATTAAATGGGAATGTTGAAATATAAGTAGTACTCAGAAGGAAATAAGAATTTTTTGCTTTTTGGTCAACGAAGCATCTTTGTTTTTGCTCTCTTTCACCATTCAGTCTCCCTCTGCCTTTTCATTTTCTACCTCTACAACTGGCCATGCTATATCCTTGTGCTGGTTCCACAAGCAAGACAAGAAACATCTGAAAGAATATCCAAAAAATCATGAAAGAAAAACTACGGATTTAAATGGGAATACTCTAAAAGGAAACAGATGATTATCGTTTCCAATTGAGAAAGTATAATAGAAAGAACAATTTGCTGCAATTTTCTGCTCTTGGATTGGAATTGGGATACAACGACGACAACCGGAAAAGAGAAAATAGGGTCAAAATAAGGGAAGTCATGGATCGCCCGCAGCAACAGCAGCAGCAACAGAAACAGCAGTACCACGACCACGACCGCAACTATCATTATCATCATCATTGTCGTCACTATCATTAATTTCCACCCTGTCCAGAATCGTGATTATCAGTATCATCATCATTATCAACGTCATCGGTAATTCATTCGGACTTAATCTCGCTTGGTTTTTTACCCTCCACTGGAATCGAAGGCAATCGTCTGAAGTTACAAGTTCAATCCTTATCCTTCCGTCTTTCTTTTTCTCCTCTTCCGGAATCGCAAGTACGAGGATTTTTGGTTGAAGATAGATGCGAAATATCGGAAATACGTAAGAAATTCGCAAAAAAAAAGTTGCTCGTAATAAGCTAATGGGCACGGGCATGACGAGCTGCACAAAAAGCTTCAAAAAAATATCCCGTAAATATGAATCTTGGAAAATTTTGAAAATAAAAATGACCCAAGACCTACAGTTTTTCATTTCTCGTTGTTAATAGTATTTAAGGAAAAACACTGTCAGGGAGAATATAAATGACCACTCGGATGGCACTCAAGGAGCTAGCGCACATACATCGAACAGACGCAGGGTTCCAGTTGAAGGAATGTAGCGCACGTTCGAAAATTCTGGCACATCGGAGCTCGGCATTTAAGGGCATTTCAGTAAAATCACTGACATGGGTAACTTATACCCGTAGCTGGACAATCTTGGCGTTCTTGGTATAAAAAAAGATACAAACTTTTGTGTAGCAGACACTTGA